TTAAAAACATAAAAACATTTATAAAATGTTATAATATACTTGTAATATGTAATTGGAGCTAGAATATAGTAAAAATTGAGATTAGAATTTTTAAGACGAAGTACATACTCCGTATAACGTATATACTTCGTTTATATAGTAATTTATGATAAATAAATAAAGATTGGTGTACTTGGTTGAGAAATTCACTTTGACATCTTGAGGTCATGAGTCATGAGGTATTTGGAGATCAAGATTTCCTCACCTTTATATAAGGTAATTAAGCGAAATCAATTCCAAATACATAGTTTTGAATTTTGAAAATCCTTATTTTATCATTAGTATACAATAAATTAAAATTGACTAGTTTCACTTTTACCAATACATTAATACAAAAATACATTAATACAAAAAGTTGGGTTGACCGCGGGTTGATTTCGATCTCCAAGTCATGAAATTGTGTTCAAAATCCGGCTTTCAATTCTAAGGTCGATTTTAGGTTGTATTTTGTGTTGAGTCAATTGTTAACTCTTTATATATGTAATATATACCACTTGCATGGTTATTTAAATTTCGATCCGATCTGTTGATTCAAAATTACATCACTAATCCAGATCTTAAGATAAAAAAAATTTGAGTGGTAGAATCTTAATGAGATTCTAGGATCTTACGATCCAATAATCTGATCCTATTTATGTACAATAACAATTTAAGAAAATAAGTTTTTTTTACAAATAATAGTATTACAATTTAGTTCATATTCATTTGTCACTGTAAGTATTTATTGGTCTAAAAAAAATATAAAAAATTACAAGATTTATTTTTACAAAGGTTTTGAAGTTGATCATACCTAAAGCCTTGATTTTGACAACATATATCTTATCAATTAAAACTTGTGTTATGACATGTAATTGTTTGTAATCTTAAAAGTTAAAATCAATTTAAGTGTTGACCTTATGTAAGCAAAACAATGTCTTTTACGATTAGTATGCAATTTGTATCACAATTTAGCAATATTAACACTATTTTTCCATTTTATAAAATCTTACAATCTTATGATCAGATTTTAGGCCCCCTCGTAGATCCAATATAATATTCCACTTTTAACAATCTTGTCCACATGGAAGAAGTTTGGGATGCTTGCTTTGTGAAGGGTCTCTACACACTAGCTAATTTTATGACTACCTTTTGTGATATATAGTTATTATAATCCAAAGTCATATAAATATAGAATCTTGTTATAATGTATAATTGTATATTTTCATAATAATTTCTTTCTGTAATTTTTACTGTACTTATTAATAATTATTGATAATTATTAAACTTATACATTAACAAACATGATTAAAAAAGAAAACAAAAAAAAAAATGTCAACTAAAAAAGAACAAAGAATAGATACCGATTAATAATCCAATACGGAGTAACCCTTTCCGATTTATATTTGATAGTTTGACTTCCTTTTCATTTTTCATTGATGCATTTTTATTTTTATTTTTTGACGGGGAACCTCCTTAGTTCAACGGAAGAGGTTTAATTTGTTTATATATAATATACTAGTATATATATATTCAAGTATCTTAATATGGTTACATTTCATTACTAAGCTTATTCTTTTTTGTTTATACATTATAGGACCCATGATTTACAAGGGAATATATCACTTCTTTTACCAGTATAATCCTGAAGGTACATTCTGGAAACCTGAATTAGTCTGGGGACACTCTACATCTACTGATCTAATCAACTGGACAACACAACCAAATGCCCTTATTCCATCTTAGCCTTACGATATTCGGGGATGTTGGTCGGGATCCGTTACCATACTCCCCGGAAATAAACCGGCCATCCTATACACCGGTATTGACAGTCAACATTACCAAGTTCAAAACCTAGCCTTGCCCAAAGATTTATCTGACCCTTACCTTAAAGAGTGGGTTAAGGTACCTCAAAATCCAATAATAGTTGCCACACCCAACGTCGATCCCTTTAATCTTAGAGATCCAACCACTGCTTGGCTATTACCGGACGGTAAGTGGCGAACCATTATCGGTACGCAACAAGGGAGGAACGGATCAGCAGCTCTTTACACAAGTGAGGACTTTGTAACTTGGAGCATCGTCGATCATTTTTTACGTTCAGTTGTAGATTCCGGAATGTGGGAATGTCCTGATTTTTTCCCGGTCTATGTCGGAAAGTCAATAGGTGCTGATACATCTGTTATTGGTGACGACGTTAAACATGTACTTAAGGTAAGTTTGGTTGATGGTCAAAAGGAACTCTACACTATTGGAAGGTACGACATTGTTAACGACTTCTATATACCGGATGAGGGATCTATTGAAAGTGTTTCGGGTTTGATGTGTGATTATAGTAGATTTTTTGCGGCAAAGACATTCTTTGATAGTATGAATAATCGAAGAATACTATTCGGGTGGGTTAATGAATACTCAACCACAGAAGATAACATTAAAAGGGAATGGGCTGGACTACAGGTATATATAGTCACCCTACAAAACTTTTGTTTGTCCTTCAATTTCTAGCTTTTTTTTTTTTAATGTGTGCATACAAATTGATTATACTTTGTATATCTTGTAATTTTGTTTTTGCACTCAAGGGAATCCCAAGAACAATTGTGCTTGATGAATCTGGCAAACAATTGGTGCAATGGCCAGTCGCGGAAGTTGAAACACTACGACATGGTCAAGTAGACTTACCTTCTCAAGTAATTAGAGGAGGAGGAGTCATTGAAATAACAGGAATCACTCGCTCTCAGGTTAATATATGCATTTTCCTACAATTATGGTTTGGTGCATCACAAATATTTTGTCTTTTGTTTGAAATAATTTGTGGTGTAACTATTAATTGGTTTATCTTTGCATATCAGGAAGTGATTTTTAAAAAGTAACTTTTGATAAAAGAGAGTAATTATATTGATGAGTTTTATTCATATCAGCTTTCTTTTGATAATTTTAATATACGAATTACTAATGGTGTTCAATCCCTTGGTTAATATTGTTAAAGGCGGATGTGGAAGTTTTATTCAAAATACCAGAATTAAAGGATGCTGAAGAAATGGACCCAACATGGACCAACCCAGAGACATTGTGCCACGAAAAGGGAGTATCTGTTGAAGGACGAATTGGGCCATTTGGGCTGCTAACACTTGCTTCTACTGGCTTAGAAGAATACACTGCAGTTTTCTTCAGAGTTTTCAAGGACCCAAATACCCCAAACAAATATGTGGTCTTAATGTGCAATGACAAAAGCAGGTAACCCAACAAGTTTTTTTGTGTTTCACCATATTTGCTGACACAAAATTTTGATCAATATATAATATCTTCACGTTAAAACGATTCAAACAAGTATAAATATTGGTAAAAAAAAATGGTGTACGTGAATATTTTAATTTTGTTTCTACCTCGTAAAAGTTTTCTTTTTCTCACTAATAAATAATAAAAAAAGAAGCATAAAAGGTTAATTGAAAGATAGAAACATTTGTAAACTTAATCAATTCTAAGCTTGTGTTTGCAAATTAGAATTTATCATTAATTTTTATATGCTTTATAGTTATACCTTTATTTTTCTGGTTACATAGGTCTTCTCTAAATCCAAATACTGATAAACCAAGTTATGGAACGTTTATGGATGTGGATCCTACTAAAGATGAGCTATCTTTGAGGACTTTGGTAAGTTCAAACAAAGTTTTTACAACTAATGGTGTTAACACATCACACTTTCATTCATATTTACAATTGGGTGCATGTAGAATTATTAGGTGCAATAAAGTTTGACTTTTTACTCATTTGATGATTATTGCTTTTTTTTTAAAAAAAAATAAAATAGATAAATAGTTTTAAAATGAGCAATCAATTATTTTTTGGTGCACCTCGGCTCAAATGGAAGATAATAGAATATGTATCAACACAATTCCAAAAATTTGTAAAAGTTTGACATTATTAATTTTATTTATTTATCTATTAATGTGACAGATTGATCACTCCATAGTGGAGAGCTTTGGTGCTAAAGGGAAGAGTTGCATAACTGCTAGAGTTTATCCCACACTCGCAATTAATGACAAAGCAAAGTTGTATTTGTTCAATTATGGAACTGAAGATGTTTCTATTACTAAATTGAGTGCTTGGAGTATGAGGAAGGCTCAAGTTAATCTTCCGAAAGATACTAACGAGGAAAACTAATGATTTGTGGTTACTCATAATTTCTTTTGTTTTATATTCAATTCGTTTGATAATATGGAAGAATATGTGAATTCAATTCTATTTCCCTACAAGATAGTGGCCGATGCCATGCTATCTATTTATCCTTTTATTGTATTTTATTAGGGAGTTATATGGTTTTACTTTACTTTAAAGTAAGGGTTTTACATGTAACTAAATTTATTTTCAATCTATTTATTTAAATATAATAATATTGGGTTATTTTAGCTCATTAATAAATTCTCTATGTAGTATTTCCTTTGTATGTTGAAATTGTATACAGGTTTAAGAGAGACACTAATTGGGAAGTTTTTGGCTTCTCATTAAATTCTCTACGTAGTACGTTTTAAGTGATCGAATTTATGGTTGAGTATAGCGTCTTGCCTTCTCATAAAAATTTAAGTTACTTGCACCAAAAAAAAAGAGTTACAAATCCCTAAAATTACTTATTATATTCTTCAATTTACAAAAGGGCCGGTTAAAATAATTTGTATCATATTATGATTACTCCGTACATAATTTTGATATGCATTTTATCATGTGGCTAATAAAGTCCGTATTTACACTTTAGAAAATAAATAACTTTCAACAAATCCACAAATCAATTAGGGTAAAAATGATGCAAAAGAAAAGAATATTACGGAGCATTTTTACTTTTAAAGCAAAATAGATTGAGATATTATAGTTCTTATTTTAAATTAGAAGTTCAAAGGGGCTAGGGTTTTTGTTAGGTATTTGTAAAGGACAAATGATGTAGACAAAGTGTGATCCTATATTTTACAGAGTATTATTTTGGATACCAACTCTCACGCATAAAACTGTTGTAATATAAGAAGTATTTCAAGGCTACAATAAGAAGTAAACAATAAGACCGAAAAGTTGATCTTATGACAATGGAAAGAGTACAGTGTGTCGTGAAGCAAATTCACTGACTTGAAAATGAAATTCCAGCGCAACCGCAGTGCACAATTGTATTCGCCGGCACATTCGCTAAGATTAACACACCACTTCCACACAAATGCACTTTTGGGTGGAAGGTTGGACCCAAGTAACTTATGCCAATATAGAGTATCTGTTTAAGCTTGTGTTTGAAGGTTATGTTCAAGTGTATGTAATTCAGAAAATGAACAAGCTATTTATAATCAAGAATGTAAGATGAAAAGAATGAATCTAGACATCAAAAGGGTGATTAAATAAGAATAAAGAATATGATTTAATCACCATAAACTAGGGGTGTTCATATCCGGGTACCCGGATCTTCGGGTAGGTGATAAGTCGGCCCGTGTCCCGTCCCGGATAATTCGGGTACCCGGATTTTATTTACTTTTTTTTTTAGATAAGTTTGTACCTAAATCCTGCTGTATTTTTGTACAAAAAATCTACTATATATACAATAATAAACCTATTGTTTTGTTTAAAAAAATACTGCTGTAATTTTTTTAAAAAAAATCTGCTGTTGTTTTTAAAAAAAAAACTTGTTTTTACTCAACCGTCAACAATAAAACACCTGATGTATTACCTGCAAATGCAAAGTAACTGCTGTAATTTATAAACAGTAAAGAGAACAACAAGTAAATACCAATGGACAACAGAACATGTCTCACCATAAAGTCTCAAAAGATTTTTGCTAATACAAATTACAACAAGATGGACTCTTTTCAGCTTTTGGTTTCTTCCTTGCTCTTTTCTTCTTAGGCCATATTTTTGGAGCCTTCTCCAAAACCTCTGCCTCATCAGAATCTTGTGCTTCAACTGCTTGACTTGAATTTGTCTCCATCAATTCATCATAATCATCATCAAATGTTGACATTTTCTGGTTAAAAAAAGAAAACGGTATAATTAAGTATTAAGTAATCAACTAATCATATATTCATATGATATAAATGATTATAAAACAGAATACAAAAACAGAATAATATAAATAAAAACAAGTAAAAAAAATGAAAACAGAATAAAAAAGGACTGAATAAATCAGTAAACCAGCAAAGATTTGAAGGCAAGTAGTTTAAAGATTATGAAAAATGAGCAATCTGATTTCAAATGCGTAGAGGAAGCCAGAGCAAGTTGCCATCAGAATTTCAAGAACACAGGTAACTCATCAATTCATGGCTCTATCAGACCATATGTTGATATATATACACACCAAATTCGGACATACCAAATTCGTTGCCCTTTGCCCACTCCATAATGTAACAGAAGACTAGATCTAAGCACACACATTTAACAATCACAAACCCCATAACAGAATTTCAAGAACACAAGATATTACACACACGCAACAACCCATCAAATTCCTAACCCAAAGAACACCGACTCCACCATCCATAGTCAACAACACAACAAATTATAATGAACAAAAATTACAACAAACTAACCTCAGGTGGTGAGAAGAAAATGAACAGGTCCACGAAATGATTTAGATCTAGCAATTGATGTTAAACAAAATAATTAGATTAATATTAACTAAACTAAATACCATGAAAAAAACTTCAAAAATACCACAAAAATAGTACAAATTAAACTAACCTGAAGTTTGAGGATGAATCGAGTCGAATTTGATTGATATTTTGACGGAATTGACGGAAGTTTGAGGAGATGTAGTGCACTAGAGTAGTAGGAAATTAGGGATGAGGCGCAAGAGAGAGAAGAAGAAGAGCTGCGTGTTTTTTCTTTTTGGGAGTTATTGGAAGTTTGGAACCCTAGGTTTAGTAAGTGGGCTGAGCTGGCACTAGCAGTGTTAAATTCGTTTTATTTTTTAAAACGTTTATCCGGGTACCCGATAATTGCAAAGTTTGTCCCATGTCCTGACCCACGAAAGTGCTATTTTACCGGGACGGGTACCCGACCCGAAAATAACAGAAAATTTTGAAAATTTTCCATCGGGTTTTTTGCGGTCATCGGGAATTCGGGACGGGACAATCGGGTTGGGTTTTTTTGAACACCCCTACCATAAACATCTTCTTTAATGGGGGGTTACAAAGGATCATCAAGAGATCAAGGAAGAATCCAAGGGAAGAAGCCCGTTGGAATCCAACGGTACACCATGTGCCCCGATCAGGCAGACAAGGCCCGATCGGGCGATCAGAAGAAAGTGACGGATTTCGAAGCTCCTCACACCCGACCGAGCATGACTCGCCCGATCGGGCGAGCGATGATCTGTTTCCAGGCTTTCACTCGCGCCCAACCGAGCCGAGTTCCGCCTGACTAGGCGGCTAGGATTCCAGCACATCCATTATTATTCCTCGCGCCCGATCGAGCAAAGCTAGCTCGATCAGGCGGATGCTCAATGCAATAACACTTTTTCCTCCCTTTATTCCAACAAAAACTTTTTATTTTTTGATAAACTTTAGGAATGTAATGTTAAACATTATTGTACTACCATTAGCTGCAACCAAAAGTTCTCCGATCTAAACAAGATGATTAAAAATTAAGCAACAAGTATAAAAAAATTCATCTAAGTATAGTGGTTAGTTAATAATATTCTTTTTTTGGGGTGCTTCAGAATGGTTAATTTATAATAATGCAATATAATCAAGTCATATTATATATTATAATATCCAAATCATTGACAGACAAACTAATTGGTGCATTTGAACATACCATACACTCTGTTCAATACAAAAAAAAAAGTAAACGCAACACCTACCCTTTCAAGTTTCAATCTAATCCAAATCAATAATCCTGATTATATTCTTTCTCAGCAATAATGATCATTCCCAACAATGGGAAATGCTTATTGTTGAGTATTGCTCTTGTGGTATTAAGCCATGGAATGATCATCATAGCAGAACATCAAGAGGTCCAAATTCATGAAACATTTTTTTTTTTTTTTTTTGTATTATTATATGACTTGATTGTGAATAAGTGTATTATTATTGATGATCAACAGGTTAATTATGATACTAATGATCCACATAGGACTGCTTATCACTTTCAACCACCTCAAATTGGATGAATGGTATATTTGCTAATTTTTTTTTTTTTAATATAGCTATTATCTTAGCTTTTTATCATTTTTCTTAAGTTATTTGATTTACTTTTTATGTCAACTTTTGATGTATGTGCTGCTGAAATATGTGGTGGAAATGGTGCTGAAAATCGGATGTGGATTTGGGTTGATTTTGTACAGATCCCAATGGTTAGTTTTCTTAACTATCTCTTTTCGCCATTTTTGGTCTGTTTTATTTTTTTTCTTCGTGATTCTCTTTATTACACTAAATTAGACGAACATTTATAATTTGTCATAGGACCCATGGTTTACAAGGGAATATATCACTTATTTTACCAGTATAATCCCAATGGTGCATTTTGGCAACCTGATATAGTATGGGCACACTCTACATCTACCGATTTAATCAATTGGACGCCACAACCAATTGCCCTTTTGCCATCGGAACCTTACGATATCAACGGTTGTTGGTCAGGGTCTACTACTATACTTCCTGGAGATATACCAGCAATTTTATACACAGGATTTAGCAACCAAAAATATGAAGTTCAAAATCTAGCCTTACCTAAAAATTTATCTGATCCTTACCTTAAGGAATGGGTTAAGGTACCCCCAAATCCACTAATGGTTGTCACACCTAATAACAACAACAGCTTCAATGCTTCATCTATTAGAGATCCAACCACGGCGTGGCGATTACCGGATGGTAAATGGAGATTGATCATTGGAACTCATCAAGGAAAGCGTGGAATGGCGGTTCTTTACACTAACAAGGACTTTGCAACTTGGAACTATGTTGGACGTTTTTTTCATTCAGCTGAAGATAACGGAATGTGGGAATGCCCTGATTTTTTCCCTGTTTATGTTGAAAAGTCATTAGGTGCTGATATATCTGTTATTGGTAAGGATGTCAAGCATGTCTTCAAAGTAAGTTTATTTGATACTCAATATGAGTACTATACTATTGGAACGTATGACATTGATAAGGATATTTACGTGCCTAATGAGGGATCAATTGAAAGTGATCTAGGTTTGAGGTATGATTATGGTAAATTTTACGCGTCAAAGTCTTTCTTTGATAGTATGACTGATCGTAGGATAGTATTCGGATGGGTTAATGAATCTTTAACGCAAACATAATTCATGAAAAAGGGATGGTTCGGAATACAGGTAATTTAATTGTCACAATACAAACCATTTTTGAGTGTATCTATAGATTTAATTAAATGTGCATGAATTTGATTAGTGAAATCTTGTTCTGGTATATAAGTCAATTCCAAGAACAATTGTGCTGGACCACTCTGGGAAGCAATTGGTACAATGGCCAGTCAAAGAGGTTGAAAGGCTACGAGAAAATAATCATGTGGAATGGCTAGTTCAAGTAATCAAAGAAGGATTACTTATTGAAATATCTGACATCACAAGTTTTCAGGTTAATTCGCGCCTTACTTTTTACATTGTGCTATATAGAAAAGTACAACATAAGTCTAAGGATCTTGCTACCAAGATCAACTTACACTTGAATCGACATAATATTTGGTAATCAAGCGCTTATAATAGTATTATGGTAATGAGAATGAATTTGTATATACAAACTATTAACTTAGTGTAAAAATAGTACTCCGTATATTCATTCCAATAATAATGCTAAAAACGTTACAACAAAGGCCTTGTATATATAAAGCACAAAATTACCACCTAATCCACTATATACATACCTAACCTCTGTCCCAACTCCCAAGCTCATTTTCATGCCAATAAGGCAATAAGTGCACTAATTAGAAGCAAATAATCAAATTTTCTTTTATTTTGTTGTTATTATATTGTTGAAGGCGGATGTAGAAATTTCATTCAAAGTACCAGATTTAACTTACGTTGAGGAATTAGACCCAACATGGACCAACCCACAAATATTGTGCAGCCAAAAGGGTACATCCGTTGAAGGAAGACTTGGGCCATTTGGGCTGCTAACACTAGCTTCTATTGGCTTAGAAGAATACACTGCGATCTTCTTCAGAATTTTCAAAGGCCCAAATAAATATGTTGTCTTAATGTGCAGCGATCCAAGCATGTTAGTATTTTTTCACCATGTCTACAAATCTACAATCTTGTAAGGAGTTTATATTTAAATTTTAGGTCCTTTGAAGCACTAGGTTATGTACCACTTTTTCCATTCCAAATTTAATAGTCACATATATTAATGGTTTTACAGGTCTACTTTGAACCCAACAACCGATAAACTAAGTTTCGGGACTTTTGTGGATGTGGATCCTATTAATGAAGATCTTTCTTTAAGGACTTTGGTGAGTTTAAACTTACCTTTAGAAATTAATTTATTTATTTTTTTAACACATTTAAAATTTTGGTAATTGATTTTTTTTTCTAATTTGGCCGTAGATTGATCATTCTGTTGTGGAGAGCTTTGGGGCCAATGGAAAAAGTTGCATCACAACAAGAATTTATCCCACGTTGGCAATTAATGACAAAACAAAGTTGTATGCCTTCAATTATGGAGCAGTGGATGTTAATATTACTAAATTAAATGCTTGGAGTATGAAGAAGGCCCAAATCAATCTCTCCAAGAATTTGGCATATCACAACAATGAGGAGCATAAAGATGAGTTATGAATTTTATGATAGATGATAGGTTCACTATTTTATTTTATGAATCTTATTAATATAGATCTATAGTGGAGGAGCAACTGTTTGGTGATTTTTATTTAGATTTTTTTTAAAAAAAATTATTAGAGAAAAACATGCTAGTGTTGATATGATTATAGATGGGAAAATTGAAATTGGAAAAGCTTAATATTTTTATATTATACATATGATATATAATCCAATCAAGACGACACAAACTTGAAGTGTCACAATTGTACTCCAACCTAGAAAAAATGTCTAAGAAAAGTATTACGAATTCGGAATTACACAATGACTGTAGTGAAGTATATGCATATAATAAAGGATTAAAAGTTACCAAATATTGAACTCGTATATCATTATCATTCAAAAATCCACAAATCGCCAATTGTCATGGTGGATTGGCAACAACTGAGGTTCTCTAGAAGAACTAAAACAAATCTTGATGGGATGTTATCTTAATCCACAACCTCCAATCAAAACTATATTGAGTTCAATATTAGTAATTCAAGTTACATATGGTTAATCAAAATATTCCAAAATGGCCAAAATAAGCCTGTTTTACTAATTTAGGTATACAACCCAATTTAGGCCCTGTTCACTTCACCTTATAAAAGTAATATTCGGCAAAATTAATTTTAGTTCAGTAAAAATAAGTTCAGTTCAGTAACTATAAAGAAGAAATATAATAGAGAATCAGTAAAAATAATTTCAATTCAGTAAAAATAATTTCAGTTCAATAAAATTAATTTCAGTTCAGCAAAAATAATTTCAGTTTAGTAAAAATAATTTCAGTTCAGCAAAAATAAGGTGAAATAAACAGGGCCTTAATTTAGTTTTTTCTATTTCTACGGATAAAAATATCAATTATAAGTATAACTTTTATCGATTAGCTTATATGTTGTTCAAAATACAAAATATACAGTAAAGTCCGTAATGTATGTATACGTATATCAGACAATAGACCCAAGTTGTCTTAGAAAAACCAATTTCAAAAACTGAAACATGTAAGATAATGAAACTTTAGAAAGATCCCATCTTGCGGAGCACGATGGATGTTTATTAGAATGTACAACTAAGAAGTGCAGATGATATGAAAAGGACAATTGCAAAATCTTATTATAACTATAATAATCAGACTGCTTCTTTAAGTCAAAATTATTATATACTTTGTATATCATATGTTAAGTAAATGATTACTAATAATAATAGTTTTATAATATACATCCAATACATAAATCGAACCCAACAACACTTAGCTACTAATTATTCATCAAATCTTAATCAAAAATTCTTCTCACTAAAAATAATGGTTATTCCTAATCCTAACAATGGAAGTCGTTGGTTTTTGCTGAGTATTTATCTGGTGCTACTCAGCCATGGGTTGAACACCATAGCAGAAGATCAGACGGTCCATAATAATCATGATGATATACTTATTGTTGATGATCAAATGATTAATCATCGTGAAAATGATGATCCATAAAGAACTGCTTATCACTTTCAGCCACCTCAATTTTGGATGAATGGTATGCTACTTTTCTCTCTCTGGTTAACTCTTAATTCTTCTCTAATATATTTGATTAAGTTTATCAACTGCTAATGGTTGTGTTTTTTGTTGTTGTTGTTGTTGTTGGAATATTCTGGAATTGATGCTGAAATTGGATGTGATTTTCGGCTGGAATTATTGCAGATCCTAATGGTCAGCTCTTAATCACTTTTTTCCCTTTTTAATTTGTTTACTACTTGGATTAATATACAATTTTAAGGTCATAATAATACTCCATCGCGCATTCGCACTTTACTTTTTGCATCTTGCTGTATTATTCCTATTTTTAATGGTCAAGTGTACGTACTACTTACTACTTAGTATAGATGATTATTGATTATAGATTAGTTTGTGCCTTATTTCATAAAGGAACTTTTATTTGGTGCTTAAAAAGGTCCTCTGTAGCTCATTGGCTTCCATAACTGCGAACTTTCTATCCGTTAATTTTATTAGATGGAAGAACCATTTTACTAAAATGGTTACACTTTTATTTTTTAAGAAATGCGATCTCTAATAATTTGCTATCTTTGACTATTAATATATTTAATTACGTGTTAGTATAAGATATTTAAAGATGAAAATTGGACGCGGCAAATCAGACATGATCAAACACGGTAAAACCTTTATGTATGTATTAGTAGGCAATATTCGGTCAAAGTATAACCATTTTAGTGAGCCAGAGAGAGTAGCACTTAGGCTCCCCTTGTCTCTTGGAGGTCGGAGGGGAGGGGACGTAGAAGGGAGTTGCTCTAACACAATCTCAAGTCTCAACATGTAGCTTAGCACACCATAGGGAATAGCTAGCGCAGCGCGGTTACCAATGAGGCTTGCTTAAGGCTTGTAAATGGACCTGTATAGTTCAAAGGAAGGGATTTGTTACATTTAACAGTATTGCAAATAAAACCTTAATTCTTTTTTGTTTGTGTTATAGGCCCCATGATCTACAATGGAATATATCACTTCTTTTACCAATACTATCCCAATGATGCTGTTTGGCACACTCAAATTGTATGGGGACATTCTACATCAACCGATTTAATCAACTGGACACACCAACCAATTGTCCTTATTCCATCCGAATCATACGACATCAATGGATGTTGGTCGGGTTCTGCTACCATACTCCCCGGAAATAAGCCTGCCATCTTATACACTGGTATCGACAGTCAAGAGTACCAAGTCCAAAACATGGCCTTACCCAAAAATTTGTCTGACCCTTACCTTAAGGAATGGGTTAAGGTACCTCAAAATCCCTTAATGGTTGGTACACCCTCTAATGACAACATCAATGCTTCTGAATTTAGAGATCCGTCTACTGCGTGGCAACTACCGGATGGTAAATGGAGAGTTATCGTTGGTACACAACATTATAAGCGCGGATTAGCAGTTATATTTACGAGTGACGACTTCATTACTTGGAGCAACACCGAACATCCTCTTCATTCAGCTGAAGGTACCGGGATTTGGGAGTGCCCTGATTTTTTCCCTGTTTATGTTGGAAAGTCACTAGGTGCTGATACATCTGTTATTGGTAAGGATGTTAAGCATGTCCTTAAAGTAAGCTTGTGGGAAACTCAATACGAGTACTACACTATTGGAACGTATGACATTGATAAGGATATCTATATACCGGATGAGGGATCAATTGAAAGTGATCTCGGTTTGAGGTATGATTATGGTAAATTTTACGCATCAAAGTCATTCTTTGACGATGTAACTAATCGTAGAATATTATGGGGGTGGGTTAATGAATCTTCAACCCAAACAGATGATATCAAAAAGGGTTGGTCCGGACTTCAGGTAACTAACTAATCAACCATTCCTAAGCCCCATTTTTTTTTTATGTACATGTAATTAATTAGCAATATCTTGTACTTGTGTCATTGTGTGTATTAGGCAATTCCGAGAACAATTGTGCTTGATAAATCTGGCAAACAATTAGTGCAATGGCCACTCAAAGAAGTTGAAAGTTTACGAGAAAATCCAGTACAATTGATTTCTCAAGTAATTGGTGGTGGATCGCTCATTGAAGTATCTGGAGTCACGGCCTCTCAGGTGCGCTCTCCTTATTGGCCTTACTAATTTTCTATGTTGTATCATACTCCGTATATGATTAACCTTGAGACATCTCTTCATGTATGCCAATTTATGTTAGTCGACCTTAATCAATGTAGGACTAAACCTTTCTTGCTATTGATTTATTGACACATTATATTGCATTACAACAATTTCTAAACTAGTATAGTGAATGGATTAAAACTTTAATGAACTAATTATGAGGAACAAAAGCTAATCTTATTTTATTTTTCTAATAGCTTATAACATTTTTTTTTTCTTTCTTTTTTTTTTTTTTTTTTTTTTTTTTTGGCTAAAGGCGGATGTGGAAGTTTCGCTCAAAGTACCAAAATTAAAGAATGTTGAGGAATTGGACCCAACATGGACCAACCCACAAATATTGTGCAGCAGGAAAGGGGCATCCATTGATGGAAAACTTGGGCCATTTGGACTCCTAACACTTGCTTCGATGGGCCTTGAAGAGTACACTGCGGTCTTCTTCAGAATTTTCAAAAGCTCAAGCAAATATGTGGTCTTAATGTGCAGTGACCAAAGCAGGTTAGTAGTTCAATACAGAAATTGTATTAATCATGAATCATTTTTAAATCAGAAAACACGTCAATTTTTATGTAGACATCCTAAAATAGTAAATGCGCATATCGGATGGAAACACAGTAACAAACTAATACAAATTATGACTTATTTGTTGGCTGAAGTTCCAAATTTGTTCTTCTGATTATATCCTTGTTGTTTGCACAGGTCTTCTCTAAATCCAACTACTGATAAACTAAGTTTCGGAACATTTGTGGATGTTGATCCTGTCAATGATGAGCTATCATTGAGGATTTTGGTGAGTTACAACAATTTTTTTAAAACCATATATATTCCCACATACATTAAAATTTTACAAAAGTATAGCTAAACCTTTTTTTAATTCTTTGGGACAGATTGATCATTCCATAGTGGAGAGTTTTGGTGCAAATGGAAACAGTTGCATTACTGCAAGAGTTTATCCAACACTAGCAACTAACGACAAAGCAAAATTGTATGTGTTCAATAATGGAACCGTAGATGTTAAGATCACTAAATTGAGTGCTTGGAGTATGAAGAAGGCTCAATTCAATCTCCCAACAATTATGGCTTCTCACACCAACAAGGTGGATAAAGAAGAGTTATAACAATCATAGATTTATATGATTTCAACTTATATGATGATATTCTATATATTTAAGGCGAGTTTTACACCACCTAAATATATTGTTCAACTTTTAAATGTAACTCTAATTTATACTATATGAATTATATAAGTTGAGAATCTATTTGATATAGTAAACTAGTAGTCATTTATACATGTTTGTCATTATATATACAATTTTTTTTTTTTTTTTTGAAAATGGATTCAATTAAATCATAACCGTTACCTCAAATTTGGTTAAAAGGTTTGGTTAGGTAATGGTTACCTTGTGTTTGATTAGATAATGGTTTTCACCTATTTGTTACCTCTCTAAAATCCAGGGTAACAATTAATCTTACCCTCCTCAAACAAAAAATAAAAGAAGGATTTAAGTAATTCTTTTCTATGGATAAACAAAATAAATAAATAAAAAGTAAGAGCTAATTGTTTCTATTTCCACTCTTTTTTGTTTCTTTTACATTTCATTTTCAATATTTATACAAAACTGCTTAATAGTGTTTACGAAGTCGAAGTATACTAAGAATGAACGCATGAATTCTATCGGCTATCTACGCTACTCATTCATATGCGTCACGGAAGAGTTTCGCTAATTGATGCAAAAGCAATTAAGCTATTTACGAGATATTGATGTGAATCGAGTCCCCTTTCATATAACTATTTTTATTGCTATATTTAGGTACTCTCTTGGCTTTACAAGGTACCAAGTCACTAGCCCTCATAGTAGCGTAAATTCCCGCTCCAAGAAGTACTTGAAAAGTATCATAATTCTCCCTATACACAATCTTGAAAGGTCCTTCCTCTAAAGGTTCATTCTTACCTCTAGAATTATTAAAGATTTTTTGAGCATTTAAAGATAAGAAAACATAGTCACCAATCTCAAAAGGATGTTGGTTTCTCAATGACAACATATTAGCCCTTCTTTCCTTTTTGTCGAGTTTAGGCATAATCAACAACTCTCTAGCAGGAGCTTGAATAGGTGGCGCCTTAGGGGGTAAAGGATGTAATTGGACTCTCTTGTCCCCAACCTTCACTAAATAAACATTTTTAACACCATTAAATAACACCCCTCGGTCATATTGACAAGGACGACCCAAAAGTATAGAACAAGCAGTCATAGGTAAAATATCACACCACACACTATCAGAATATGAACCCATGGAAAAGTTCACCAAAGCTTGCCTTTTAACTTGTAGTCCATCTCCTTCATGTAACCAATTAAGCTTGTACGGAGTAGGATGGTCCCTGGTAGAAAGATTCATAGTCTCAACCAACTTAGTAGATGCAACATTGGTGCACGATCCCGTATCTATGATCAACGAGCAACTCCTATCACCTACTTTGCATATAGTATGGAACAAATTTTCCCTTTGCTCATGTGTAGTAGAAGGAACAAAATCAGCATGCAAAACTCTCCTTAAGATACCGATATGGTGATGTTCAGGTTTAGGAGTAATCTTTTCTTGACCCTCAAACTCTTCAAAATCAAACTCTTCCTCTGTATTGAGCAAACATGTACTCTCCTTCTCTTTCTCTTCTTGGTCAAGATAAGCCAACAACATTCTATGTTCCTTCTTGGATACAGTCACTTTGTTGCCACAATCTCTAGCAATGTGTCCCACGCCTTGACACTTAAAACAAACTTTTTTCGCCAATGCAGCTTGTTTGGGAGTAACGACGATCATCTTCTCTTCACTGTTCGAAGTGTTAGAGTTAGGAGCACTGTTGTGGTTCGAACCCTCCCCATTAAAGAATGACTTCCTTTCCTTGAAATAAGAAGTTTTCTTTTCTTTCTCCCGTTTCTCAAATCTCTCTGTCAACCTTAGACATCATCAAAGAACACATAATTTGATGTTTCCACCTTGTGAGAAATCGAAGGTGTCAACTCTTTTATGTATCGTTCGATCTTCATCTCCTCTTTTTCCTACAAATCACAAAGCATGCACAATTTCTCAAACTCTTTAGTGTATTCGGCAACACTAAGACTCTATTGTTAAAGATGATTCAACTTCAAGAATTGATCTTGGATAAATTCCCGTGGTAGGAAACGTTTCCTTAATTGTCTCTTCAACTCATTCCAAGTATTAATTCATGGCTCATCTTCTCTCAGTCTCTTGGCACGTAGATTCTCAAACCATAAAGAAGCATATCTCGTCAATTTTAGGTTTGCAACCTTGTAGGCTTTTTGCTCATCAAGACCTTTGTAGTCAAAGACCTTTTCCACCTGACGAACCCAATCTAAAAAGTCTTCATCATCCCCATCACCTGTAAATTCCGGAAGTTCCAACAACTTCAAATCACAATCATTACAAATTGGAAAATTTCTCATAATTCCCCTAGGTTGTTCGTTGTTGATTATTCATCCTTCCCCAACCACTTGAGTTGATAAAGTTTCGACCCTTTGATTGGTTTGAGCAATTTCTTGTGTACTCTTCTCAATTTTTTCATTCATTCGTTCAAGACTCGCATTTAAATTTCTCATCATATCAACAAGTATAGTATCAAGATCCTCCTTTGTCAAAGTACTCATAATATCGAAATAATTTTCAGCAAATTATTCTTCCGTATTAAAAGACAAGAACCTCAAATTAATCCAACAAAGCCTTTATAATAATTTGGACAAGGTATAACAACTCTCGCGCAACACTCTAATTTTGTAATAGCAGGCGATTTTTTTTTTTTTTTTAATATTCTTCAATACTAAAATTAATTTGTGTTTATCCGTGAACCGAAATATGAATGCACAAAAGTATTAGTTGCACTATCTCTACCCACTTGATGATTTGCAGCAAGTAAATCAAGAAATCAATATGCACCAAGAGACAAATTCACCGACTAAAACTCTAGAATGACGTACCTCTTGATACTACGTAATACTTACTTCCAGATTCAAAGACGAATTACACTACCCGAATATAATTGCAAATCACCCGTAATTCTTGAAAAGCAGCCAAAATTTGTTCTAATTACCAAGATCGTGAGTTGCGAGTGCTCACAAATCTGGCTCTGGTACCAATTTAATGCGTATTTTTAACAGTTTATATTTAATGGAAGGATTTGAGTGATTTTAATGGTGGAAATTTGAAAGATAATCTTAAAAGGAAACGACTTCTAAATTTGATCTTAGGAGCAACGATCCTAAAACCCTAGTTAACAACTAGTTCGAACCTTAACAAAGTTTTGTTCGAGTTAAAACTCAATAATCTGATTTTTATTTCATAAACGTCCTACTATAATTGTTGACATGTATCAAATATATATAGGAAAAATAAATCTAACCTACTTGCCCTACGAGCAAACTAAATAAAAAACCCTAATAATTAATTAATGAATCAAGAGAGCCCACTAATTAATTAACACAACTTTGAAAGGCCAAGACCCCATAACTAGTACTAAAAAATAATAAAAACATTATTAAAAACTCATTTATAAAACCCCTATTTTAAGAGTAAGGTAAAATCAAAAGAGTACCTTAATAAAACAATAAAAATAGTTATAAGAAAGGGAACTTGATTAACATCAGATATTTTCTTCTGTTTCTTTCTAACAAAGTATTTTTAGCTCCTTTATTAAAGCTAAAATACCACTTTACTTTCACCTTTTAGCCAATCCAATATATTGTTGCCACGAACAAAGTTATGGAATGGCCCTACTTTTACTTTCTTGAGACTCTTCACCCATATTGTTGATTGATGCTAGGAGGAAGTTTCCTAGATTTAGAAACCTATCGACAATCAAAGAATCAAATGAATGCCAGATTTTATGATAAAATCACACATCGTCTAATATTGTTTATGTCTATAATTTTTACTTTTAAGTTTGTATCATATTAATAGCTTTAAGAGATGAGGATTACATATAAAATTTTCTATTTTTTAAGAGTGATTTAAAATATTGTAATATTATACGGAATATTAAGAAATGAAGTGAATACATGCTCAGCAATGATTTACGTGGAGGGCTCCGCACGGCATTGGCGGACCTGCCCTTGTGCATGGTGAGCCAAATGACTCACCAGAGCCCAAACAAAATTTCTAAGTTTTTTTTTTAAAAAAAAAAAAAAAATTATTTTCTTTGGTTGATTTTGTTGTTGTTTGTTTGGTAAACTTTGAACCTTTTGTTAATGTTGTTGGGTTTTTGATAAAATTTAAACCTTTTTGACCATGTGAATTGTAATCAGTGTTTATTTAGGGTGTTTATTGATGTTAATTATGTCTGTCAAATTGTCAATACACCATTGACTTTGGTAGATTTATATGGGGTTTTGCATATGTGCTGATTTGATTGGCGATTCGGACGATTGCTTATGATATAGTCGACCCACCCTAATGATATAGTCAATTATGTCTGTCAAATTGTGAATACACCCTAATGCTTGTACAGATTTTAATCTTGTCAATTATTAGAGAGCTAAGCTTGTCATGTTGTCAAATTTTTTTTTTACATATTTGGTTATCGATTGTGACTCATCAGTCGGAAATTCCTGGGTCCGCCACTGCCGCACGGCTATCCTCTTGTTAGAACTAAGCTAGGAAGGAAGAATCTGCATGATTAAACTAAATTAGACTATGTGTTTATACAAGGCAATTAATAGAAGCCTCTAGAATTTGGATATGGTAGGGCCTTATACTCGTTAACATTTTTTTTTAAAAGTATGCGCATATCCAGCCACCAGTGTCCAATAGTGAGTAACACTAATGAGTAGATTTGGAAGTGTACTTATAATTAAAGTTTCTTTGTTCTCTTTATAATACTTCCAACATTAGTTTTCACATTATTCATAGCACAACTTTAAAAGATTAATGTCTTAAGATACGAATTGACATGTATATCGGTCAAAATGTTAAGATTATTACAAAACAGGGAGAGTAACTATTAAATATACTAAGTATCAAATCCCAAACATGAGTACGTCAATTGAGGATCATTCCATAATCCCTACATACGTACGTTCGTTAATATCACAAAATGACTACAATATTTGAAAAGAAAAAGAAATGGCAATTTCAATTTTTGTTGCTTTTGGAAAGTTTCGAGGATATGCATGTCAGCAAGTGTGTACACCACAACAATTGTGATAGACTGATAGATACACATGCAAGTCCTGTAACTATTACTGTCAAAAATCAAACCGAACTGGT